TGTCGAGCATGTGCACCTCGTCGATGAACAGCACGCCCGGCACGATCTCGGCCTTGCCCTCCTCGCGCCACTCGCCCACCTTGGTGTTGATCTGGTCGCGCAGCTCGGGCTTGATCTCGCCCGTGTCGCCCGAGAAGAGCGCAAGGAAGCCCTGCGTGCGCGAGTTGATCACGTCGATCTCGTGCAGCGACACCGTGTGCACCACATCCTTCCTGCGCTGCAGCTCGCCTTCGGGGCACTGCACAAACTTGGTATCGCTGCCCATGGCGTCGTAGTCGCGCGCGCGCGTAAAGCTGCGGCCGAGCTTGGTGATGCGGCCGCTCGCCTTGTCAATGGCAATCACGTCGCCCGCGGTGATCTTCTCCTTTTGGAGCGAGTCGATCATCTTGTTGCCCAGCTCGTAGATCGTCTCCATGTCGGTGGTCTTGATGGTCAGCTTGCCCGTCTTGGTGGCGCCGGTGAGCGAGCGGTCGATCTGGATCTCGACCACCTCGCCCTCGACCACCTCGGCCTCCTCGCGGATGCGCACGCCGATGGAGCGTCGGAACGCCTGCATCAGTGCCTCGGTCTTGCTCATTTCGAGCGAGAACACCTCGGATGCCGAAAGCATGGTGAAGGGAACATCGGAGCCGAGCGTCTGTGCCATGCCCATTGCGATGGCCGTCTTTCCTGTGCTGGGCGGACCGGCCATGAGGATGGCACGGCCGGCGATACGGCCATCCTGCACCATCTTGACGATGAGACCGGCAGCCTTTCGGGCGGCACGCTGGCCCACCATGCCCTGCGACGATGGACGCGGCTCGAGCTGGTCATCGAGGCCAAGACCCTTGACGTGCGAGTGCGCGCCGATGCGCTCGAGCGTCTGGATGGTCTGTTCGGAGGTGGTGCTGATCTGTGCCATGATGAGATGATTGCCAGTCGCTGGTGGAGGTCAGAAGCAGCAGCCGATCGACGAGGCGGATGGATGGTGGAAGCCGAGACGATGGAAAAGGCTCGAGTCGGTTGCAAATGCGAATCTTCGCAGAGCGGCCCTGCCAAAGTCGAAATCTGCCAAAATTCAGGGCAGCAGGGCGCGTCTTCAAACCTCCACTGCTCGACTGCTCCACTGCGCCCGCCAGGAAGATCCAAGCACCGATCCCACACAACAGCAGAAGAAGCTCGGACCAACACGCACCAACACTTTGCTGCCCCTTCCCCACCCGACGCTCCGCCTCCTCAACCACCAACTGCATTCTTCTAAACCGCCACTTGCCGTGTGCACGCCATGACGGCAGTAGGCTCTGCACCGGGCCCATCAGAGCCATCTGCACTACCACCACCATCATCCTCCGCCTTGCCCGACGCACAAGATGGTGTTGGTCTGCCTTTCCCCGATGTCGCACAGCTGACCAGCCGCTCGTCGATCGTCCAGGCACTCGCCGAGCTCTCGCGCCATTCTTCGGAGCTCGACGACGAGCTTGTGTCCCTCTTCGAGGAGTCCGAGCCTGTCGTCGCCGACGCCCGCCGTTCGATCGCTTCGCTGACACCGCAGGTGCAGCTCGTCCAGGAGGAGGCTGCCGTGCTCGACCGTCGACTCCAAGCCTCGGCCTCGGTTGCCAAGCGCATCTCTGAACGTGTGCGGCTGCTCGATGAGGAGCGCAAGCGAATCGCGCTCGCCGCCGAGTGGGCTCGAAAGGTCGCCGAGCTCAAGTCGTCGCTTTCGCTGCTCGCCGAGGCGGTCGAGCATCGCGATTGGGACATGGCCACCATGCACTGCCGCCGCGCCATGGCCATCGACCCTGCCATCCGCTCGTCAAGCTTTGCAGCCGCCGTTGTGCCCACCACGAACCTCCCCGAGCCGCCAGAGACGACGCTGCTCGAGCTGCGCAAGACCATGCTCACCGCTTTCACCGACGCCTTCATCCGTTCCACGCAGAACAAGGACGAGAAGGAGGCCTCGCGCTTCTTCAAGCTGCTCCCGCAGATCGGCTGGAAAAAGGAGGGCCTCGAGGTGTACAGCTCCTTCGCCCGGTCCATGGTGCGCGAAAAGGGTCGCGCCATCTCCGACTCGCTACTGCCAGGAAAGGCGCAGCATCCCACCCACTTTGCGCTGCTGCTCACCTCGCTCTTCGAGCACCTGGCCATGCTTATCGACATGCACCAGCCTGTCGTCGACCGCCACTACGGTGCGGGCAACTTTAGCCACGGCGTCATGCCTGGCCTGCAGGACGAGTGCGATCGTCTCGGCCACCGCATCATGGACTCTTGGCGCCAGGATCGCAACGTTCGCAGGCGGCTTGACGAGGTGCAGGCATACCGCTCTACCAGCGCCGCGATGGATGCCAAGACGCACCATTCGACATTCAAGGCATCGTTCGGCGCGCCCGCAAGGACCGCCAGTCCCGCCGCGGGCTCGACGGCCAACAGCTCCTTCGACGAGCCCGCTGGTCCCGACGGCCGCGAAGTGGATCGCATTCTCACAGAGCTCGCTGCCATGTCGTCCCGATGGGGCCTCTACCGCCGCTTTCTGCAGGGCCGGCTAGCAGACGACCAGGAGAGCGACAAGCCGGACGCGGAGCGACAGAGCTCGCTTGACGATCAGCGGGCGAGCCAGGCAGACGAGCCGCTGAAGGACTTTCGCCGCTCCTCGGTCGACCGACGTGGCTCAGTCGCTGGGTCGTTGGGAGATGCTGATACTGCAACAGAAACGCCGCCAGACTCGATCGACCATGCGGCCGAGTCGAAGCTCGGGCAGGAGGTGCTCGAAACGATGAAGGGCAGCTATATGCCCCTGGAGACGTGGTACCTGCGCAGCAGTCTGGAAAAGGCGTTTCGGATCGACCAGCCCGACACCACAGCACGGCCATACACGTCTTCGATTCTCGACGATGCCTTTTACGTCATCCGCACCGTGCTTGGGCGCATCCTGTCCACGGCGTCGCTCAGCACACTCACGGACATGGTGCGCGTGGTCAAGACGACGCTCGAGCAGGAGTACATCGAGGTGATCGTGCGCAAGATGGAGACGCTCTGGCGCAGTATCTCGGGCTCGATGAGTGTCGATGGTCCGCGCAAGGATGCGGCGAGTCGAGAGATGCGCACCGTATTCATCACCTATCTCAACGTGCTCGACGTCAGTTCGCACTACATGTCGCGCGTCCTGGCCGAGGTGGGCAACGAGCAGTCTCTCGCAAGGCTGTTTGAGCCCAAAGAGATGGACGAGGCATCGGCAGCGGTGGCGAGTCTCGGTCAGCTCGTGAATCGCTTTCGCTCTTCGCTGCGTACCGAGATCGAGCATATGTTTACGCAGCTCACGGCGCCGAGGCTGCGCGGAATTTTGGTCGAGACGTATAGGGACGTGTCATACGTGCTGGATGACGAGGGATACTCGGATGCAGAGTCGCGCGATCTGGTTCGACGCCGCTTCGTCAAGTCCTGGGAGCTCCTGCTCGTGCACTTCCGAGGCACTTTTTCCCAGGCCAATCTCGACACGTACGTGGGCATGGCACTGGATGCACTGCTCAAGCCATGGGAAGCCATGGTGACGGGCATGAGGTTCACCGAACTCGGCGCACTCAAGTTCGACAAGGACCTGCGCGCTCTCATCGGCTTCCTCACCACCCAGTCCAGCTTGCCCATCCGAGACCGGTTCACGCGGCTACAGCAGATCAGCTACGTGCTCAACCTCGACGCATCCGAACACGACGCCGACCTCTACCACAACGCCGTAGCGTCAGGCATCTCGTGGCGCCTCTCGATGGCCGAAGTCAAAACCGTGCGCGCCCTCCGCATCTCCCAAACGCACCCTCACAGACAGACTTCTCTGACCGGAATTTAGAGGCATGGAGAAAGACAAAGTGTGCATTACAAGTACAGAGTCGCGAGGTATACCGAATCGTGGACAGAGACCAGCCGAGATGCTGCGCCGAGCTACGCCGGGCTACGCCGGGAAGCGCTCGAGCTGGAGCGAGTTGGTGAGCGTGCTGATGTACAACCTTACTGCCGTCTCGATGGCATCCTTCTGTCGCACCATCTTCTTCTGGTACGCCTCGTAGGCCTCTTCGAGCTCGGCCATCTTGGCCTCGATCTTTTCCGACTCGATGTTCTTCGCGTCGGCGGTGGCGTTTTTGCGGTTGCGCTCCTGCTTGGCGTGTTCGAACTCGGCCTGGAGGTTGTCCATGCGCTTGGTGTGCTTGTCGGTGATGTCCATGAGGTTCTTGCGGTTGCGGTTCTGCTTGTCCTCGAGCCGCTTCATCTCGTACTCGGTCATCTCGAGCGAGTGCTTGAGCGACGCCAGCTGGTTGGTGATGCCCTGCGACAGCGCCTGCAGGTCCGCCTGGTTCTGCACCTCCTCCTTGCCCTTGACCATCTCGAGGTTGACCTCGTGCATGGCGTTCATGCACGCGTCCAGGTCGTTGCTCAGCGTGTCGAGCGTCTCGAGGTTGCGCTTGAACTCCTCGACCTTCTTGACGGTCTCTTGGAGCGAGAGTGTGTCCTTGTCGAGCTGCTCGGCGAGCTCGCGCACGCTGTTCTTCATCTTGCTCGGGCTCGACACGACGCGCGCCTCGAGGTACGTGATCTTTTCGTAGATCTGGAACTTGTCCTGGGCGAGCTCGGCGTGCTTGATGGCGAGCGTGTCCTTGCGCTTCTTGAGCTCCTCGAGCTCCTCCATGGTTTCCTTCTGCTGGTTGCGTGCTGCAAGCAGCTCGTCGGTGATCTCGGCGTTGACGCGCTGCAGCTCTTTCACCTTGGGCTCATCGAGCTCGCGCTCCGCCTTGAAACGCGCGAGCTCAGATCGCTGGCGGTCGATGTCGTCCTCGATCTCGTTGCGCTTGTTCTCCAGATCCTCGGACCCGGTGACGAGCTCCTCGAACTCGACGATGCGGTCGGATCGGAAGCGGTAGAAGTTGACCAGCGCGGACATCTGGCGTCGGAAGCGCTTTGGATTGGGCCGTGTGAGGTCCTGGAGCGTAAAGTCGTAGAGCGTGGCGGCGTTCATCATGTCCTTGACTTCGCGGAAGAACATGAGCATCTGGAGACCATCCTCGTAGAGCTCGCTGTACTCCGCAGAAGCGAGCGCCTCATGGCGGCGTCCATCCATCATCTCTGTTGTTGTGCCGGAAAGACACTCGAGGAAGGCGACGAACACGCGGTGCGCTACGTGCCCCTGTGGTTTTTGGAGATCCTCGGGCGAGATCGACAGGCCCATCTCCGAGAGGACACCGAGCAGCTCGTCAATCTTGACGACGGGAAAGGAAGAGTAGTTGCCGTCACGGTTGCCCTTGACTGCATCGGGCGGGACACGCGCGGACGACATTGGATACGTGGGGTTGACGGCCGACGTCATGGCGGGCGAGGGGATGCACTGAGCGTGCCAGCTGGTCGAGTGTGTCGATTAGGTTGCGCGTACACAGACAGGTTGTCGAAGTCGATATGACGGTGATGGCGGTTGGTGGTGAAGAGGCGGTGGTGGCAATGACGAGCTCGGGCGTGGATGATGGACTCGGGCTGAGCCGCGCTGCCGGCCGATTGACCAAAATTGAGGGCAGCGGAGGTGTTGTTCTCTGCGACTCGGCGCTGCGACTCGGCGCGGGCGCCATCGTGGAAATTGCCAGTCGAGGCGGCGAGAGACGCGCTAAGCAGCAGCTGCATCGAGTCGAGTGCTGGGTGTTGCTCTCTCCAAAAAATCAAAAGACGCGTTTGGCTGCCCCACCTCTTGGCTAACGCGAGATTTCGCTACAATTCAACCTCCAACACGCTGCGGCACGTGACCCCCGCCACTCCACATCTGCAAGGCCCTTCATTTTGTGCAGAGGCCAGCGCCCCCTTGACCTCACAATCACGTCGGGCTGTGCAAGAAGCATGGCACGGAAGACGACTCGGCGCTCGACAGCGAAGCAAGCAGAAGGAGAAGAGCCCGATGAACCTACGACAAGCACTGGCAGTGATAGCGACTTCGAGACCGATGATGTCATCGATACCGCAGCAGCCTACAAGGATGCGGTGAATCTGCCTGCGCATCAGACGAAGCATCTCTCCGAGCTGGTCTACCGCATTCCGCGCATCGACACCGCCTTTCAATTGGTGCAGCGAAATGACACGAACAGTACAGGCTCCTCGCTCTGGCTTTCATCGCAGGTCCTGTCGGCCTTCCTGCTGCACACGTATGCCAAACCCCAGCTGAGGACCGCCAGTAATGTGAAACGCAAGAGGATGCTCGAGCTCGGCTCTGGCACGGGGCTCCTTTCGCTGCTCATGGCTCGGCTCGGTTGGGACGTGGTAGCCACCGATATCGAGCCTGTGCTCGACTCGGTTCTGCGCCCCAACATTGATGCCGGGCTGTGCCAGCTGGTCAATGAGGGTCATGCGGATCCGGAACAGATTCGCGTGTGCAAGCTCGACTGGACAGCAGCTGAGGAGTGCAAGACTGGGAGCCTGCGGGACACAATCTCGGGGATGGATTCAACCGAGTCCTCTGGCACTTCTGGTGAGCCGCGTCTCGATCTCATCGTCACCGCCGATACGATTTACGAGCCGGGTCTCATTCGACCGCTCTTATCGACCATCTCCCACTTCTATCGACGCCAGACCGATGCTAAACCCACGATCCTGTTGGCACTCGAACGCCGCGACCCCGCTCATATTGACCACGCTCTGCAGATTGCACGCGACGAGTTCGACCTTCCCTTGAAGCAGATCCCCGCAAAGCGTATTCGCAAGATCTTTGATACCCTTGGCGACGGCGCCACTTGGTCGCGAGACGACTGGAGCGGCGTCGAAATTTGGAAGCTGTAGCTCAGACACACACTTTCCAAAAATCCATCGTTATCAATCGCCACTCGACTCAAGACAGTGGGTGAGGGAACGGCACAAATAAGTGACGAGGAAGTAAAGGACATTGCGCGTGGAAGAATGGGGAACAGGGGATCTACTCTGGAGCGACGATGTTGAAGCAGCGATCGAAAGAACAGCAGCCTCGGCGGCGACCGATGGGATTCTTGGCACACGGCTTAGACAGAGGTGGCCAGAGACAGGGGTCGTTGGCCGCTTAGTTCTTCTTGCTGTCGAGGACGTGGCAGTCGATGTAGCTGCTGAGCTTGGTGAGGTAGTAGTTGCTCATGATCTGGGGCGAGCAGTTGATGCAGTTAGCGTAGATGGTGTTGTCGTCAACCTGAACAAACTCGAAGTCCGGGTTGTTGAGGAAGGTGTGCAGGATAGCCTTGCGGTTCGAGATGAAGGCCTTGGGAGTGTTGCAGTGGCCGTAGAAGGGCTTGGCCTCCTGCAGCTCCTGCAGGTCGACACCACGGGGCTGAGTGAAGAACTTCCAGTGGTGCGCGTGCTTGTGCTGGATCTCGGACCAAGAAACGGCCTTCACCTGGTAGGGCGCAGCCTCGGCGAGCATGGCGCTGCCAACAATGGCCGAAAGGGCAGCGAGGGCAGTGGTGAACTTCATCGTGAATAATTTCGAGGCTGGAGAGTAGGATGTGTAAAAAGAGTGGGCGAAGGATAGGACGGAGGGTGAGGATGGAAAGAACGAACGGGTCAGAATCAGCGCCCTTTTGTACTTTGGCTGCGCCGCTTGGCCAAGCCTTGAGCAGCCCACTTGTTGTGCTGAAGGGTCGGTCAACGACCCTGCGTGAATCTCATGTGGGTGAAAGTGGATCCCATGTGGGTGGCAGCGGCATATTGAGCTTGGGGGGACGTGCCCCACAGCATCAGTGAAGCAGATGAAGCGATCGTCGCCTTCACCCACAATGCCCCACCAAACTTCAGTGCGATCCCGCCGTCACTGATGAGTCCGCAGTCAACACAGCCCCAGGCTCCTTCATTTCCTTTTGGGGGTCGGGGTTGCCACCATCGGTCTTGCTGAGTCCCGGTGGGATTGTTTGTGCTCATCGATGCAGTGGCGTCGCCCAACGTGATCATGTGGTCATCGCCTCTCAAAGCGCTCCCCGCGGAAGTGACCCACCGTACACCACTGCGTCTAGCTCCTGCGTTCATCCGTCTGCCTGGACGATGTCACATCTGTTGGGACGCATACTGTGCAACATGTTCTGGCAGCATCACGGTGGGTGAGAGGTTGTTTTCCATCGATGGCTAAGAGCGACAACACCTATGATACAGTACATTCGATACTCGATCGTAGATATCATATCAAGAAGTCATGGGCGTATGCATGCGATGCCAAAAGAACAAGCGGACTGGTAACGCTTGGAGATTCGATAGAGGAAGGGAACGTGCTTGTTGGAAGAGCGATTGATTAATCGACGGGGCTGCCAAAGCGGCCGTAGGCGAACAAGATGAATCCGCTGTCGGCGTTGGCATCTTCCTTCGAGGATGACGCCAGCCCTCGTGAGACTTGCAATCTATCTTCCCCTTGCTCTCCGAGAGTCGTTACGGGTCGTTTGTACTGTATACTGCCTCTCGCTGCTGTCTGGAACCACTCAATTGCCTGACACACTCCTCATGCATGCGAAGCGATCTCCGGTGATAGTCATGAGGTAAAAGAGCTGAATCTCAAAAGAGGAAGAGGAATGATGTCTCTACTGAGAACGCAAAAGACGACAGGTAAGGAAGACGAAAACGTGGACGAGAAGTCAAAGGCAAAATGACTCAGAAAGGTAGCTTCGAGCCAAGGCCACAGTGTACGAAGCCTCTAGGCATCGTCTTCGTCACCCTTGGGAAGCTTCTTGTCGCCGTAGTAAGCGCAGTCGATGTAGCTGCTGAGCTTGGTGTAGTAGTAGTTACCAAGGATCGACTCGGAGCAGTTGATGCAGTTGGCGAGGATGTGGTTCTTGTCAGTCTGGACGAACTCGAAGTCCTTGTTGTTTTGGAAGGTCTTGAGCACCTCGTCGCGAACCTCGGCGGTGACGTCGAGAGTCTTGCATCCGTGGTACAATGGCTTGACGGTGAGTAGATCCGTACCGCGAGGCTGGGCGAAAATCTTCCAGTGCTTGGCGTGGTGGTTCTTGACCTCGCTCCACGAGACGGACTCCTTGACAGCGGTGGCGGCCTCAAGAGCGACGGCTGAGGTGAACGTGGCACCCGCAACGAGAGCGCCAAGAGCAGCAGAGACGGTGGAGAGTTTCATTTTGGGTGATCTGGGAGAGGTTGGACGGGGAAGTGGTCGTAAAGAGATGCGAAAAGTATCCCTTCATATACCTTGGACACAACCCTCGACAGCCCACTGAAGCTGCCGAGTACGTGCGTGAACAATGGAACATCCGCTCAGGGGTACGAGGAAGGCAACCCCACTGTGGCAGACGCGGAAGGCCCGACCCCCACCTGACGAAGTAAAGGAGCATGCAAGGATCGAGCGTCCGATTAACCCACCAAACTCCACCTTACCACCGCGTGGAACCGATCGGACTGTCAAAGTGCCAACCAGATGCAGGTCCACCGCGCACTTGGAGCCGCCATTTCTCCACACTTCAAGCATAACCTTGTGGCACGAGCCATTGTGGCATGCGACGTATCGGGAGCCGATGGTCTATACGGAGGCAGAATTATACTAGTGTTACATTGCAAAGGGCCAAATGCGCGAGGAGAAGCGGAATCAAGCCTCGAGCATCTCGCGGAACTCGCCGCTCTCGATGCTCTCCTTGAGGATGTCGAGGCCGCCAATGAGCTCGCCGTTGACGATGATCTGCGGGAATGTGGGCCACTCGTTGAGCTTCTTGAGGCCCTGTCGGACGTTTTCGTCCTTGAGGATGTCGTAGTGGCCAAAGTCGACCTGTTCCTGTCTCAAGAGGTTGACCGTCTTTTGGCTGAAGCCGCAGCGAGGCGTGTCCGGGTCGCCCTTCATGAAGAGCATGACCTTTTTCTGCTCCATGAGCTTCTTGCATCGCGCAAAGATTTCCTCCTCGGTCTCTGGCACCACGTCCTCCTCCTCTTCTTCGTTGAGGGTCGAGCCGTTGCGCGTTGAGCTGGCGGCATCGTACGTGTCGGCGGCTGCTCGGGGCGCAGCAGAGGTCTTGGAGACGCTGCCAGTGCCATTGGCGCGAGCGGGAGCTGCATGCGTGGCGACGGCGGCCGAGAGTGCGGAAGCGTTGGCGCCGCTGATGCGCGAGAGAAGCGTGTGTCCTCGAAGCAGGACGAAGGAGGGGACTGCCTCGATGTCAAACGACTCGGAGACATCGGGAAGCGTCTCGGCCTCGATGACAAGGCAGAGCACCTGCGGGTACTTGATGGCGATCTCGCGGACGACTTCGTTCATCTGCTTGCATGGCTCGGCCCATGGCGCATAGAAGTTGAGCAGCGAGACCCTGGTAAGATCCTTCTGCATGATCTCGGTGAAGTGCTCTGGCGAGGTAACCTCGACCAGGTTGCTGGGACTGGCATCGGCAGCCTGCGACATTGTGGATATGCGTGGCAACGGGAAAGAGGTGGAGAGTGTTATGCTACCCGTCGAGTGTGAAGTGGAAGTGCACGATTGACAAGGCGGATGGATGGCGGAGGTGGGGATCGCGAAATGTTCTTGCGCAGTTGTGATTGTGTGAAGTCCAGTCACATCTTCTGCAGCAGCTCTCGGAGCACGGCGAGCCATAATCCAACCGCCGCCGCCGCCGCCGTGCAGAAGACCGCACAAAAGACCGCACCGTCACGCTCGCCCTCGTATTCGCAATCGTCGAAAAATCAGATAAACCAGCGACCGCCACTCGAGGTGAGCCTCTCTCTCGCTCCTGGAAAAATCACGCACTCGCTCGCTTCTGGTTGGCTGGCTGCCTCGCACCTCTGGCTCAGCCAATCGCTAAATCCGAGGCGAGCGCCTCCACAGCGACGCTTTTCGGATCGCGATTGCGACGCGTTCCAACTAAGGTCATCGGGCCGATGGGCTCCATGTGGCCTCACTGCAGCGGGTAGCGTGCGGCTGCACGGAACGAGCCTGTGCGCTCGAGGGTCCTGCATGGACAGCTTGGTGTTGGTGTCCAGAATGGAACGCCTTCCCACCATGCGCGAATCATGCTAGCTTTACCCTCATCACCCGCTCAGGCCCCCGAAAACAGTCACAGATAACAATGGCGCTCAAGCCGCAACGCCGCCCTCCTCTTCATCTGTCGTAAGGAGCCCCGACTCCGCCCTTGACTCATTCCCTCGTGGAAGGGCTCGTCGATCAGCGCATTCAGCTGGGCTCAGGCTCCACTATCGGGTGCAGAAGGACAAACACGCATTTCGACCTTTGATCCTCATCATCTTCTCGACATCTTGACGACCTCTACAAGAGATGGCTCAGTGTTGAGGCATCATCGGTACCTTCTCCTCATTCCCCTGGCGCTCAGCCAAAACGACATATCATGACAGCGGATCAGGACGTGCCGACGGCCAGTCGCACCCAAAAGGGTCATGGCAAGACCCATTCCAGGTCCCTATCCCTCCGCGCTATTCCCAGTCGACTGCGGCCGAAGACGGCCCCCTCCTCTCCCGATCTGGGCGAAGAAGAGGCCTCTGGCTCGACGAAGCTGGCTCCACCACTCCCTGAATCGCCCCGCATACGCCGATCTTCGGCTCCTCAAGAGGGGGCAACAACGCCCGAATGGCGTGCAAACCAGTTCACCACACCGCTCGAAGCGGATGCCGAGTTTGTACGCAGAACATATGCGCATTTCTCCATGGCTGGCGTGCCCGACGACGGCTTCTCGGATGGCAAGGAATACACGCGAGAGAGAAACGGATTGTCGGCCTGGGAAGAAGCGGCACTCTCGCGTCCGAGCAGCCTCGTACCAGCTCGCAGACAAGGCGAGCCTTCTGCTCCGACCCAAGCATCCCCTCAAATCGTGCAGCCGGACTCTTTCTCCAAAGCCGGTCACAGCGCCGCAGCGAGCCAGGCCAATGGCCGCATCAACGGCCATGTACCGCCGCGTTTGAACAATAGCGATAGCACACGCAGTGCCCTTTCGCAGCTCTCGTCTCAGAGTACACATGCCGAACCACATGCTGATGGTCGCGCAGCAGTCGTAGCAGCTCCGCTCGCAGACACCGCCGTCTCCAAAGGAACCTTCCTCTCGACGAACGAGCGAGAACGTCGGCAGGCCGTCGCCGACAAGAAGCGCCAAGAGACCATCGCCAACATCGATCGCTACGGATTCTTTTCCGGCCTTCCGGGCAATGTGCACCACAAAGCCACGATGCTGTCAAGCAGCCTCTTCCTCGCTTCCTTTCCACGCAAAGCCGCCAAGCTGCGTACCTCTCGTCCGTTACCCATGCCGAGCAGCCTTGCGCACCCTGCCACGTCCCAAGCGCCCGCCACTGCCGCAAACGAAGCCGGCGAGGATGCGGATCCGTCGCACGAGGTGCAACAAGTGCGCGCCGCAGCCGATGCAGCTCACCGTCAGCGCGAGCAGGAGAGAATCGCAAAGTGGACGCGCATGCTTACCGTCAAGGACCGCGACCCCGGCTTGAACGCGGTGGAGTTTGATTTCGCCAACGGCATCGACCGGCGGTTGCGGCGACGCGTCTTCAAGGGCATCCCTGACAGCTGGCGCGCTGCAGCCTGGTCGGCGCTTCTGCAGCGTCGGCGGCAGACAGACGAAGGACGGCGGAGCTACGCACTCGCCAAGCCGCACATCCAGACGGCGGCTACCCAATCGGACGACGAGAGCTTTGAGCGGCTCAAGCACACGGCTAGTCCACACGACGTGCAGATCGACCTCGACGTGCCCCGCACCATTTCTGGGCATATCCAGTTCCACACGCGCTATGGCCAGGGCCAGCGATCGCTCTTCCACGTTCTGCATGCGCTCTCGATGCTGTGCGAGCAGTGCGCCTACTGCCAAGGCATGGGTCCCATCGCTGCGACGCTGCTTTGCTACTTGAGCCCCGAGCGCGCCTACGCAGCCATGGTGGCGATGCACAACCATGTTAACCTGCACACCACCTTTTCGCCCGGATTCCCAGGGTTGGTGGAAAACCTGTTCGTCCAGGACCAGCTGCTGCGTAAGTACATGCCAGAGATCGCGGCGACGCTGGACGAGCACATGATCGTGGCGAGCTCGTATGCGACCAAGTGGTACATCACCTTGTTCTCCAACTCGATCCCCTTCGAGACGCAGCTGCGCGTCTGGGATGCCTGGCTGCTCGACGGGCAGGACGTCATCACGCTCGTGGCCGTCGCCATCATCTGGGCGCACCGAGGCGTCATCTTGCAGCCCAATGCGGACTTTGAGACGATTCTCAGTGCGCTCAGCAGCTTTTTCGTGCCCGAGAACGACGATGCGCTGCTGTTCTGGGTGCGAGACGCTCTGGCGCGCAGGGATGTACGCAGCACCATGCAGAGAGCGCGCGACGAGTACCGCCAAAAGGCCGAGAGCGGCCAAGCTGCTGCTCTGATGCTCTGAGCATCTTGAACACTTTCTCTAGTTGCAATCTGGATGTGTCTAATCGTTCAATTCCGCCATGTGCGTGCACAAGAGGTGCTTGGACGGTTTGAGCGGGAGAAGTAAGGATGTGCGCGGGGTTGAGTTGGTCCGAGGGCGACATGTGGAGAATTGGCGGGCGGGGTGGCGAGTCGCGAAATTTACGAAGCTCGACCGGAGCGTTGCTGGATGACTTCCGCTCACTACTCGACTGCAGCACGACATACCTCCTTCGAGCGCCTTTGCTCGGACAAACCCGTTGACAACTACCCGACATCTTCTCTTTTACCTGACACTGGAACAGCGCAAGCAGCGCCACTATGTTGTTCGCACCACCGTCCAGCTGATGTGCAGACGTTCGATTCAGAACCGCTGCACGTCTTTCGCATTCCGCACCGCCATCCGCTCGTCTTGTCAACACCCGCTTGGACTTTGGCCTCGACAAGATGAAGGACTGGCGGCGGTCTCCCGAGCCTGCGGGCATGATGGGCCTGAAGGACGCCGCGTACCAGGTGCAGGGTAACTGGGGCCAGCCCGACGAACTGCCAGACGACTTCGACCCTGCCGCACCGCTCCCTCCCACGCGGCGCCATGAGCCCGCAACCGACGCAGCATCTCGGCGCCTACCGAGCCTGTACTCGATGTGCCTGCGCGTGATCATGCGCAACATCTCTTCGGTCCAAGACCTGGGCGACATGCCGTACCGCAACGCCGCGCCAATTCTGGAAGAATGCCGGATCGACCAACTGATCCTGCTCGAGGAAGCTTCGCCGCACCTGCTCGGACATACAGACGAGATCTGGAAACGCAACTGCCTGCGAGACTTCTTCGAGCTGCGCAAGAAGTACAGCGAGCCAATCGCAGGCGCGGCTGCGCCACGCGAGCCCAAGAGCTGGCGCAAGCTGTACTTCCGCACCAAGGGCGAGATCGAGCAAGCCAAGGTCGAAGCCGCACAGCGCATCAAGGACAAGTACGCGCAGCACCGTGCGGAGAAAGACGCCAAGAAGCTTGTCGTGAGCGATCGTCCGCTCATGGCCAAGACAGCGCGCAGCATCAGGCGCTTCGGCACAGGTCCGAGTGCCGGCGGCGTTACCAAGGGGCAGAGTTTGCTCAACAAGGCAAGGTCCGGCAGTGCTGCACAGGCCAAGCTCACGGCGCCGCGAAATGGAAGACCCATCTCTGGATTCAAGACGCAGGGTCGGAGTCGGGCTGTTGGCATCGAGATCGCTCCGGAAGCTGCGGGCATCGAAGCACGCACAACATTACGGCCCATGGTGGCGCCTCGAAAGATCGACGACGGCGCGAGCGATGGACTCGCGCGCCTGAAGGAGTTCTCCCGACCTTTGCCCGGCACTGAAGCCGAAGAAGCGAAAGCAAGGTCTGCCGCATCCCGCCGGCCAGCTCCCAAATCACCGGCAGACGGTTCAGCTGAGAACGTCGACAGCTTGGCCGCACATACGGGACTGCCGAGGTTGAAGCCACATCAAGTGGCGGCCGCACCACCACTTGCACCATCTACATCGTCACCTTCAAGGTCGGGCAGTGTATCGCATACTCGAAACGGCGCTCGCACTTCGATTTCAGCTGGCACAGCTTCGCCAAGAGCAGAGCAGTCGCCTCGACCGCCTCCGCCAGACCTGGCACGATCCGAGCGGAAGAAGCTCGACTTTTTTGGCACAGCACGATCTTCCTCGCCGCGGGATTCAACGGTGGAGGTGAGAGGCGTCAAGCGCGCCAGAACTTCAACCACGACTCAAACCAGCGGCAGCAAGGAGCGGCTACCAGCAACATCTTCCGCTGCGAACAGCGGCAGCAGCCCGCACAGACGTGCACGAAAGGACGATCCTGATGCGCGGCAAGAGCGGATACGTCAGTGAGGATACCCGATGCGGGCAGAAGCGGCAAGATCCCCGATAGGAGCATCCCCGGCACAGCCGATCGGACAACGGCGCCTTGTGGGAGATGCATTGGGAACTATGTAACACTATCAGATCAAACAAGTGCTTCACATGTAACACTACCGGATCACTCAGGTCGAGCGGGCGCTCACAGCTTTGTGGGCGCGAGTGAGCCAGCGTGTGGTCGTCCAAGGCAGGAAGGTCAGGGGTCTTGGCGAAATTTCTTGGAAGGGCGGCTGCTGCGCGCGTGGCTGTGTCGCATTGCTCCCGCCACCACCACCATTCTGCTATGCTTTGAGGCTTTCGCGTGGTCCTCGTGTGGATGTGAGAACAAAGATCTTCTGGAAGAGCTGCGATGGTGGCAATGAGAGCGTTAGAGCGGTCCTACAAGCTGGAATATGGCTGAGGGGAAAGAGGTGGGGTCTGATAGACCGGCCCGATGCAGCTGTGGGCTGACGTCAAAAATCAAGCCGAGCGTGCCGATCCCAGCAGCCCCACTGCATTCCGACGCCCACAACACTCCGTACGAAGCTCGCAATCGGGCTCATCGTAGCAATGCGAAATGCGCACACACATCGAACACGACCACGCCGCCAGTTGGTACAGTCGGGACATTGGACTGGGGAAGGTGCGATGGATGGCATCAACCATGCGGGTTGGGTGGGGTGTCGCACGACTACAGAGTGTCATAGCATAACCTCCACAGGCGGCTGGAGAGCAGCCCAAAAAAAAAGTCCCGGTGCACCGCCTGCGCTTCTCGGCGCAATGCAAAGTGGAGGTTGCCATTGGACACACTGCCACCCGCATCCACTTTGACGCTCCACCACCATCTCGGCTCCCTCATCTCGCCAACAACTCGCTTTGCATAGGGCCATCCAACACATCCACCCAACACCACAAACGAGCCACTTTTCTCGGATCTAAGTCGAAACCATGGTGAGTCGTCCTTGATTCTTCTTGCCCAATGGTTGGCGCTCGAACGGCCTACTGACGCCGTTGTGCATTCTGGCGGTTTGGGTGATCCAGGACTTCTGCTTCTTCATCCCCGTGATCTTTGGGTGTCCGACCAAGATCAAGCAGGAGGGTGATGGGTCGGCGCGCGTGTGTCCTCGGTGCAACAATGCGCAGGTAGTGCAGGCCAAGGCACGCACGTGGTTCGAGCTGTGTTGGATTCCGCTCATCCCCATGAAGACCAAGCACATCTACTACTGCAACATCTGCCAGTGGCAGACGCAACAGGACGGAGGCTTCCAGCCCCAGGTAGCAGGTGGTTTCGGCGGTCATCAGGGATACCCACAGCAGCCCCAGCAGTACGGTTACGGTCCTCCGCAAGGAGGCCAATACGGATACCCTCCGCCGAAACAGTGACCCCATCCACCACCACCTCGACCCTCCGTGCCACATTAAGCGCGTATCTATATCCCCAGCCTTCGAAAGATAAGTCGGTGCCTTAACGATGTGACGAAATGTCTGTATGCGACTGTGGGGTGGGTAGTCTAGTGTACAAAGGTGTTGGTTGCGAGCATCTTGTCGATCTTGTCCTGCGATACGCCGTCGAGGCGAGTGAGGAGGTAGTCGACTTCGACCTCCTTGGTGAGTGGGATGACAAACGTCTTGTAGATGCGCACGACCGTGTCGATTTCGATCTTGCGCTCCTTTTCGCGCTCCTCGGCATTCGCGCCGGGCCGGTCCATGTCCTGGCCGTACACCTTGGCCTTTTCGGCGAGACGCACGAGCAGCGCCGCTTCCACCGCGGGCTTGGTGATCAGCGCCGCCAACTCGTCCCGGTTGGGTGTGAGGATGTGCGGGATGAATGCTGCTGGCTCCGCCCGGAACTTGGACTCGGACACAAACATGCCTGGAACCACCCAATACGAGTGAAACAGCGAGCACGGTCAGTCGAGAGGTAGTGAAGTGGAGGCAGGACGTATTGGGCGGCTTACCGAAGTGAATGCGCCGACTGAGAGCGGACAGCACCTCCATATCGCGAATCGCTGAAGAGCCGTAGTGCCCGTCGTCAGAGTTCTGAGGGTCAAAGAAAAGCATGAAGCGGTCAATCAGCCTGGAATTGGTGAAATCTCGGTAGTTGAGAAGCAACGCACCTCTCCGAGAGTCTTTGTGATGTCTGGGATGATCTGATCGACGTAGAACTTGAGGATCTGGTCGTTGACGTTGACCGAGTGCTTCCACAAGAGCTCTGGGTAGGTCACTGGCGCAAGGATGGGCTTGGGCAGCAACGCCGGGTCTGTGAATGGGTACTCGTCCGGACTGTTCATCGCGAGTCATGCTGCATCAGTATCATAGTCCATCCACGCTGGTATCAGTGCGCGCCTCGGGGACTGCGGAACTCACGCTTCGAAGCGGCGAACTTTGGCATGTGTGCTTTCGGTCTCCTTGAGGAACCAGGCGAGCCAGGAGCTGTTCCAGCCCTCACGCTCTTTGAGCTCGGGAAAGCCGTCCGACGAGTAGCATCTTGCGTTGCGCGCAAATTGGGCGCGCTCGATGAGCTGGAAGACGATCGTCTCTTCGAGGCGGATGAGCACCGAGCGGATGTTTTCGAGCGAGAGGATGTCCTCGGTGGTGGCAGAGTGGATGTCGAGCGTATGCATGGTGCTGTGACTGCTCATCTCCCTCTACGAAGCGGTTGCGAGTATCGATGGTGCCAAGATGGTGCTAGGGCGGGCAATGCCGAAGAGACGGGGTGGTGAGTGGTCGTTTGATATAGGGCCCGAGCGGTGATCCCGGCCTGCCAAGAATGTCTTTGTCTCTCTCGCCTGTAAAGGGCCTGGAATCGAGCTTGGCCGAGGCCATTCTTTGCTCCACATGCCGGCGCACTGCTCTCGAGTCAGCGCCACCCTTTCACAGATTTTCCACACCGCGCCTCCCCGCCTTTGCAAAATTGACCGACATGCACCCACCTTCGAGCGCAGACCACCGCCACATCGCTCTCTCGTCTGGCAACTCAATCCCGCCGCCGCTTCACAGATCAGCATGGTCGACGTCGCTTTGTATGCACCAAATGAAATTGATCCGCTGCGCTCATCTGGACGGCTCCAGGCACCTTGGAGTGCGCGCGGAGCTTACGGTATGTTGTGGCTAGCTCGCCGGCGAAACGCGACCGAGCTGCGGCCACGGGCGGCAGCCGCGGTCGCCAAGTTAAACCTCGGGTCCTTGGAAGCGCTTCCATGCGCGGCCCATGTGGTCGCACTTTGTGAAATCCTGCACGGACGGATGCGCGAGCTGCAGCAGATACCGGCGGAGCGCGAAGAACTCGGTGTCCATGTTGGGCGCGTTCCTGTACGCCTTGATCTTGAGGCCGTTGCGTGGGTTCATGGCAAAGTTGCGGCTGAGGTCGTCGATGTGGATGGTGTTGTGTGGGCCGTAGACTTGGGGCCAGCGGCGCCAGATGAACTCGAGCGCCTTGACCTCGTGCGTGCCCACCTTGGACTGGATCTTGAACATGGGCGTGCGGTCAATCACAAACGAGATCTGGTAGTCCGGATTGCCCAGCATGCCGAGCTCGATCAGCTTCACCTCGAGCCAGCGCCACGACGTCTGCGACCACACACAGATGTCGTAGTGCGGATACACCGCCTTGAGCAGCTCGTGCAGGCCGGGACGCGCGCCGAGCGACGCGGGCGAGTTCGGATCCAGCAGCCGCTTGGTATCGGCGATGCAGTAGTCGAGGTCCAGCACCAGCAGCTTCTTGCCCGGCCGAGGCGGGTTGATGATCGGAAAGTCCGAGAAGCGCTGAATCACCTTTTCGAGCTTGGCGCGATACTTGGGGTTCTTGTGTGGCTCCAGCTTGGGGGCTTCGGCCTCGGGCAGCCCGAGGTAGTCGAGGTCCTGCACGGTTTCTGCCCCGTCGCTCGAGAGCGTGCCCCCGGCGACCTGATCTCTGAAGCGGCCGGCTTCGGGCGTGCCGAGCAGTGTCACCTGGACGGTGAGCTTGCACGCCTGCTCTGCATCTACGGCTGTGTCTGTAGTCTCGGATGCTTCGGCTTGCGTTCGAGCCGGACGCGGGCGCAGAGCTGCAGGTGCGTAGGGGATGGTGCCCAGGGGCGTTTCGTCGCTCGGCTGTTTGCCCTTGACCATGCCCAGCAGCTTCTGACTCTCCGGCGGCACGTCCGTCATGGAGAACAGAATGGCCTTGAGGTCGGCCACCGTCTCGTCCTCTGCCAGCCGAACGGACAGCACCGTGCCTTGATACTTGATCGAAAAGCCCAGCATGGGCGCGGCAGTTGGGACCGCCTCGGCGTCTGACTCGGCGTCATTTTCTTCTTCCGTCGTCTCCGACGATGATGATGGAGGTGTCAGGCGGGACGGCCCTGCCTCTGATGACGACGGCGCTGCGTCCAGCGTTGGCGTGAGCATCCTCGGCCGCTTTATGTCGATTCCCGCGTCGGGGTCGGTAACGGGAGGGTTTCGCTTGAGATCAGGCGACGAGCACATGGAGCAGCTCCACGGCTGGATTGGCGTTGACGTGGCGGCCGCCAGAACGAGTCCCTCTGAGATTGTAGATGCCCTTGAGGCCCACCTTGTTTCGTCTGCTGGACAAAAAGATGCTAGGGTGATAGCCTCGAAGTCTCGAATGGGTGGAGGAGGTGTCGAGTGTGGAGGTTGGAATGCGAGAACTGCTGCGCTGTTGCTCTCAACCGCCCAACACTTTCCGCACTGCGGATTGCGCGGTTTGCGCAGACCAACACTCGACGCGCGGCGCAGCGACGTGGAAAATCGGCGCAAATATGTTGAGCGCTCTAGACCTAACACCTTAAGAATTGGCGACTGCCCTTGCAGTGGGCCTCGTCAACTCCGCGCGAGAGTCAAAGCGTCAAGTCGACACTTTGAGCTCACCTCGCTGCTGCTCAGCCGTGCCGGTGCGGGCCACGCGCACTCCCGCGACCAACACAGAAACGCACACACACACGCACGCACAATCGACGAGCAACACTTTTGACGCCTCGCAAAGGACAGCAATTCCGCTGCGCTCAGCAGCGTGGGCCGCCGCACCCAACAACTTTCTGAAAGCTCGCCAAACCAACACCTCATCGCTTTCATCGCCCTCCTCGTCACCACCCACCACTACGACGTATCGGCATCGTGGCACCCTTCCGCAACACCGGAAGTCTATTGCAGTCCACCAGCAATTCACCCGATCAGCATTGCTGAGGACGTAGCCGATTGCTGCGTGCATTGCCTCTCCTTCCTCTGCCGCACGAGCCTCCCATGGCGATTGCAAGCAAGCGTGATCGACTCTCCAGATAGCAGTATCGCATTCCAACCATTCCGCTGCTCCCTAGAGTAGAATCGGTGCATCGTCTCGCCATCTCCCTATCCTTCTCAACACGCCGCCCACCATGTCGAATAACATCAAGGTCGTCTGTCGTTTCCGTCCGCCCAACGCCATCGAGCAGCGCGAGGGAAGCGACATTGTCGTCGACTTCAGCCAGGATGGCACCCTTGTCAAGATGACCCGTGGTGCATCCACTTCGGGTCCCGAGGCCGGTGGCTTCACCTTTGACCGCGTCTTCCCCATGAACACGATGCAGCGCGATGTGTTCGAATTCGGCATCAAAGAGACCGTCGACGACGTTCTGAACGGATACAACGGCACCATCTTCGCCTACGGTCAGACCGGCTCCGGTAAAACCTTCACAATGATGGGCTCCGACATCGACAACGACAACATGAAGGGCATCATCCCACGCATCACCGAGCAGATCTTCGAAAACATCATGGCCAGCCCGCCCCACCTCGAGTACCTCGTCAAAGTCTCCTACATGGAGATCTACATGGAGAAGATCCGCGATCTCCTTGCTCCTCAGAACGACAACCTCCAGGTGCACGAAGAGAAGAATCGTGGCGTCTATGTCAAGGGCCTCTCGGACTTTTACGTCGGCGGCCAAAGCGACGTCTACGAGATCATGCGCCAGGGTGGCTTGGCGCGTGCCGTCTCCTCGACCAACATGAACGCCGAGTCGTCTCGATCCCACTCCATCTTCCTCATCACCATCCAGCAACGCAACACCGAGACCGGCAGCGCCAAGACCGGTAACCTCTACCTCGTCGATCTCGCCGGTTCCGAAAAGGTCGGCAAGACCGGCGCCAGCGGTCAAACGCTCGAGGAGGCCAAGAAGATCAACAAGAGTCTGTCGGCGCTCGGCATGGTCATCAACGCCCTCACCGACGGCAAGTCCTCCCACATTCCCTACCGTGACTCCAAGCTCACGCGTATCCTCCAAGAGTCGCTCGGTGGTAACTCGCGCACCACGCTCATCGTCAACGCCTCGCCATGCGTCTACAACGCCGACGAGACGCTCTCCACCCTCCGATTCGGTGTGCGTGCCAAGAGCATCAAGAACAAGGCCCGAGTCAACGCAGAACTCTCCCCCGCCGAGCTCAAGGCGCTGCTCAAGAAGGCCAAGGCCGACAACGAGCGTTACCAGCAGTACATCGCCAATCTCGAGGCCGAGCTCAAGACGTGGCGCTCGGGCGGCAAGGTGCCCGAGTCCGAGTGGGCCGACGCGTCCAAGGTGGTCGTTGGCCAAGGCGCTCCTGTGGCCGCTGCTCCCGCTTCCACCCCATCTCTGACGCCCAGCACCCAGTCGCGCCCCCTCACGCCTGCGGTGGAGAATCTGCGCGAGCTTGCGTCGCGGCCCGAGACGCCATCGGTGGTGTCCATCGACAAGGACGAGCGCGACGAGTTCCTGCGCAGAGAGAACGAGCTGAGCGATCAGATCGCCGAGAAGGAGGTGGCGCTCAAGTCGGCCGAGGCGTCACTGCGCGAGGCTACGCAGGAGCTTGCATTCTACCGCGAGCAGGAGGCCTCGCTGTCCAAGGACAACAAGTCAATGACCTCGGAGATCAACGAGATCAAGCTGCAGCTCGAGCGCGTCACCTATGAGCACAAGGACGCCACCATCACGCTTGACATCCTCAAGGAGCAGAACAAGGACCTCTCGGCCGAGCTCGAGGAGCTGCGCAAGTCGCTTGCCGACACCGCGAAGAGCGCCAAGGACCCTTCGCAGGAGGGCAAGGAGCGCAAGAAGGCCGAGCGCATGGCGCAGATGATGGCCGACTTCAACCAGGGCATCGTCTCGGAGAAGGAGGAGCAGATCCGCGAGACACTCGCCAAGCTCGAAAATGCCGGCAGCGCCGGTTCGGGCGCGCTGTCGGCCGACGACCTTTCGATGCTTCGCGAACAGCTGCTCGACTCGCAAAGCCTGGTGCGCGAGCAGACGGAGCGCGTGCGCCAGGCGCATGAGGAGAATGAGCTGCTCCACCAGCGTCGCCAGGAGCTCGAGAGCCGTTTCGCCACGCTCGAGGCCGAGTACGAGGAGCTGCTCGACAAGTCGCTCAAGGCCGAGGAGGCCAACCACGTCAACGTGGACGTCACCGTCGAGGACCTCAAGGCGAAGCTCGAGTCGCAGTACGCCTCGAAGCGCGAGGCGCAGGCAAGCGAGATCACCGACCTCAAGCGCCAGATGGAGCTCAAGGCCAAGGAGATCGCCGTGCTCACGTCGAGCAACGACAACCTCAAGAGCACCAATGAGGAACTCAAGCGCGCGTTTGCCGTCACTACGGCGGGCGTTGAGGGCGGGCGCAACCTCGCCGAGTCGGCGCGCGAGCTTGAACGTGTGCGCAAGACCATGGCCGCGCAGCTGTCCGAGTTTGACACGATGAAGAAGTCGCTCATGCGCGATCTGCAGAACCGATGCGAAAAGGTGGTCGAGCTCGAGATTTCGCTCGACGAGTCGCGCGAGCAGTACAACAACGTGGTGCGCAACAGCAACTCCAAGGCGCAGCAGAAGAAGATGGCGTTCCTGGAGCGCAACCTGGAGCAGCTGACCAACGTGCAGAAGCAGCTGGTGGAGCAGAACAGCAGTCTCAAGAAGGAGGTCTCGATTGCCGAGAGGAAGCTGCTGGCGAGGAACGAGCGCATCCAGGCGCTCGAGCAGCATCTCATGGACAGCCAGGAGAAGCTCATGCTGCAGAACCGCAAGTTCGAAGAGCAGCTCCAGGCGGTCAAGGAGAGGCTGCACCAGGCGAACCAGATGCGTGGGCCCGCAGCGTCGGCAGCGCCAGGTCCGCTCGGCGGATTCGGCAGGATCGCAAAGCCGCTGCGCGGCGGCGGACCCACGGCTGGACCCCAGCCGGGCTCGGTCGCGGCAAGACAGGCGGCGTTTGGCGGTGCAGGTGCGAATGACAACTCGCCAAAGGCAAGGTCGAGCTGGTTCTTCTCGTCCAAGTAGCGTCGAGTATGACAAGCTTCGACGACCCGCTTTACACATACCCGCTTCCGTATCTGTCTCTCGTCTAAGTCCATAGAGCACGATGGTTAATTTCCTTTCAGCTAGGCCCGTGGGAACACTGCATGGAGAAGGCTGAGCATGTGATTTGTGTGAAGGAGTTGCGTTAGGCGCCGTTGGATGACGGCGTGCGAGCAGTGAGTCGGATCAGCCGCTTGACAGCGGAGTCTAGACCATTGACTAAAGCTTTGACAGTGCGGATGACTGCAGATCCATGGCGACACATGCGTGCGAATTTGATGTCGTTCCGCACTCGTTCCGCACTTGTTCCGCACTTGTTCCGCA